CACTGCAAAGAAATTATCCTTTTTGTGCTTTCTTAAATATATAATTGAAAATACTGCTACCTTGTAAAAGTCTTCTCCTTAACTAAAAAGCTGCAGATCCTCTCTTTTTTGAACTCACCTAGCAAATACAGCCTCTTACAAAAGCAGTTTGTGAATCTCCCCCTCCAAGGTAGGAAAGTCAGGTGAATCACATAATTTAATCACAGGTCTCTATAGCAGGGGTAGGCAACCTTTTTGAGCCGGGGGCCGGGTTGCTGTCCCTCAGACAATTGACGGGCCGAAGCACCAAAAATAAATAAATAAATAAATAAATATTAAAATTAAAAAAGAATTAAAAAATTTTAAAAAATGCATGCACACTCTCTCAGCCCCAGAAAAGCCATGGCAAAACCCCTGTGAAGATTTTGCCAAGAAAACCCCAAGAACAAGTAATAACAACAATAATCAATATCATCATGGGGGGGCGGCGGCGGCGGTGGGGGGGGCGGCGGCGGCGGCAGGACCGGTTTGGGGCCGGTCCAAAGGCCTTGCTGGGCCGCATCCGGCCCCCGGGCCTTAGGTTGCCTACCCCTGCTCTATAGGAATAGGCCAACAAAGGAGGAAAGAAAAACCTTCTCATCATTGGTAGGGTTGGGTATACTCAGAGGATCACCGGTCTTGGCATCTCTTGATCAGCAAGTTGTGCCATTTTCCTGAACAATTTGCCAAAAAAGGTCCAGCTGTTCGGAGGGTAGAAACCCCCAAACAGTGCTGGAAGATTGATCTTGTAGCACCTTTGAGACTAACAGAAAGGAAGAAAGAAGTTGGCCGCATGAGCTTTTGTAGACTTTAGTCTACTTCCTCGCTGCCAACTTCTTTCTTTCCGTTAGTCTCAAAGGTGCTACAAGATCTCTCTATATAGTGATTCTGCAGACTAACACAGCTGTATCTTTGAATACCACCATTCAACCATGCTAGAAGATTGTTATTCTTGGAGCAGTTATGTAGCTCAAATGCATTTTTGGCTGATTTTTTTTAAAAAATAGGTCTTAAGAACCAGGAGTCTGGGAGGATAGCAGTTGTTCAATGCAATCCATGGGTTGAACAATCCCCAACTTTCTGTTTTGTGTTGGTTTAGAGTTAAATAGCCTTAGGCCGACTTAAGTTCTCATAGAACCAGGCAAGATGAGATTTGGTCCTCCAGGTGTTGGACTGCAGTGGCCAGCATCTTATGCGGTTAGCTATGTAGGCTGTGGCTGATAGGAGTTGTAGTCCAGTCACATCTGTTGGGAGCAATATATTCCCCACCCCTTACTTAAACCATTGCAGGTTGAGTTGATTAGTAGAGAGGCCAATTTACTAGTTGACTTGAGAGTTAAGGGCTAGTATTTGAGGATTGGACCCTCTTTTCTGTTTTGGCTTCAAGTATGGAATTGTAACAGGGGATAGAAGGAAAAAAAATGTTGAAACTGCTTTGTTTCACTCTCAATTTGAAAGGTACTTGTTGCAGAAATTGTAATAATTAACATCTGTGTGGCGGGCTTAAAATCTTCCACACGCTTCCTTTAAATAAATATTATGTTCATGATATTAAAATATCAAAAGATCTCCGGGTAGCTTACAAGTAAACTTAATGCCTCCAGGTTAAAACAATAGAGGCCATTTAAAAAAATATTTTAAAAATGTATTATAAATAATAAGTTGAAACAAATGTAAACGATAAAAACAATGTGCATTATAAGTATTCAAGAGAAATCATGCGATCCAAAGGCTTTGATGAACAGCTATTGTCTAGTTATGTTTACGATAATCCTATAATGTAATAAGGCAGAATGGTTATCTTCCATGCTGCCCTAAAGGGAAAAGATTTGCATTTTAAAGAGAATAGCTTGCCGAAGGTTACACAGAGAGGTAACAATGGAAATCCAGATTTCCGATGGGGACTTCCTGATTTGTATAATATACAACCTGTTAGAATTGTATGTTGTCTCATGCCGTTTTCAGTATCTCCAAGGAAGCTCTGGTGCAACTTAGAATCTAAAGTGCAATATATAAACGGGAACTTTGAAAAATTCTTTTTAGATTACAACTCCCAATATCCCCCAGCCACCTTAGTGGCCATACTGGTTAGGGGATTCTGGGAAATGTAGTGCAAAAGGCCACCTTTTCAAAGCATTGGTATGAATCAGGAGGCAAAAGGCAGACTGTTTTGTGGCTGCTAGCATCCTTGTGAGGTCAATTTTTTTTTTGCCTTAAAATAATCTCTAGGGGATGAACAGGGCATATCCACAATGTCTGCTCTACCACCTGAAGATATCCTTTTCCTTGAAAACACTGTACCCTTTCTCCCTTGCTTCAAGTTCCTCCTAAAAAAAACATTTTTATCTATTAAAACTTTGCCAAACTCTTTGCAGGTTATCCTAAATAAGACTACAAGTAATCCCAAGCATTAAAAACTCCAAACAGCCCCATGATGCTCCATATTCTCCTTTCCTTCCTTTCCTGTATCCTTTCTCCCACTCCAAATCTTAAACTGGAAGCTCCTCGGGGCTGAGACTTTTCCTCTCAATCATGCATGCAGATTTGTCAGTAAAATGCTGCTTGCTGATGTAGTATGCTTAGTTGCCTGGTGACTTTGCTTTTTTTTTTATCTCCTTCTTTGAAAAGCCAATAAAAAAAAGGAGAAAGAGCGACCTGAGATCTCCCTGCCTTCAGACTTCGAACACACGATTCATGTTGGATTTGATGCTGTCACTGGTGAATTCACGGTAAGGGAATTCTTCTCTGCAAGACCAGG